CTATGTTGAGAGACAAATTCGCAACTGTCCGAGCCGAGAGCTTGCCACGAAAGCTTAGGTCTAGGGTTTAGGGTTTAGGGTTTAGGGTTTAGGGTTTAGGGTTTTAGGGTTTAGGTTTTAGGCTTTAAGGTTTAGGGGTCTATCAGTCTATCTCCCAGCACGACGTTGAACCAAGGCTCTCATAGGCCGGATATGGGAGCTTCCGAAAATAAGGGGTACCTTCTTTTTCTTTTCGGGTCCGTCTAATGAGGATCCTACTATTTAGGGTACTTTTTTAGGGTCCCCTAATTTCAGAAACCCCATATAACTTGAAATCTTAGCTGACATCAACACGCAGAAAGATCCTGAGCCGCAGTCTCGATCCTTTACAGTACTCCCTTGGTGGCAGGATCGTGGTCGTCACATGGTCGCAGTACAGGTGACCAGGCGACGGCGCTTGATGTAAACCCTAAGCCCCACACCCCAAACAACCTAAACCATAAACCCTGGATCATTGCACACCTTGGTTGATTTGCCCTCTTTGCGCCAAGCGGGTTTAGGATTTAGGGTTTCGGGTTTAGAGTTTAGGGTTTAGGATTTGGGGTTTAGGGTTTAGGGTTTAGGGCTTAGGGCTTAGGGGCCAATCCACGGCGAATCCACGGGTCCTGAAACTTCGCTTCCACCTGCTTGACGCGCTGCGCGGCGCGGCTGCACTCTTCCGGGCAGGCAGGCTGGCACGCGTCCTTTTTGGCTTTAGGGGTTTGGGGTTTTGCAAGTTTGGGGTTGGGGGTTTTTTGCGATTCCGGAGCAGTGGTAGGGTTTGGGGTGTTGGGGATAAGCCGAATCGAAGCTGGGATGTAGGGAGTAATGCATCATGCCATGCATGTCTAAGGTGTCAGATAAGCTACTGTGATAGCAGGGTTTAGGGCCTTTAGGGTTTAGGGTTTAGGGTTTAGGGTTTAGGGTTTAGGGTTAGGGTTTAGGGATGATCATCCCATCTGAGGGCAGCAATTACCCATTAGCAACCATGACCAGAGCATGTCGAAGCCCAAGCAACAGGAGCTGAAACATTGCGCAACTCAGGCCTGGACCCAAATACCCTTTGTTTTTGTTTAGGGTTTAGGGTTTAGGGTTTAGGGTTTAGGGAAAACTCGAAACCCTCAGCCCTAAAGCCTAAACCCAAAACTAACGCCCTACACCCCGAACCCTGGACACCCTGGCCCTAACGCCCTCCACACGCAAACCGAACGCAGCTTCTTATAGAATGCAGTAAGCCCTTCTGGTCCCCATACGGACAGTTATAGTAGTATTATAGTAAAAAAGGGTTTAGGGTTTAGGGTTTAGGGTTTAGGGTTTAGGGTTACAGTTACAGTAGTATAGTAACAGCTTAACGCTGCTGCGGAGTTCGTGGGCAGGAAGCCTCCATGCGCCGGAGGACGCGCTGAGCCTTGCCAGAGGCTCCGAAAGGAATGGGGCAGTTCTCTAACTTAGGGTCCCTGTTGGTGTCCTTTTTTGAGCCGTTTAGGGTTTAGGGTTTAGGTTTTAAGTTTTTTTTTAAGTGTGATGACTTGTACGTCTGCCGGGTTTAGGGTTAGGGCCTGCCCTACTATGTTGGGGACCCAAACAGGGACCCTGATTTAGACAACGACCCAATGGGCTCAGAGTGGGTGAAGGCCTCGGGCTTTAGGGGGTTCGAGCACCTTCAAAGGGCTTCCGCTTTGGGGTTTAGGGTTTAGGGTTTAGGGTTTAGAGGTCTTTGCGGGTTGAACCTGTATGGTTTAGGATTTTGGGGGAGGCCCAGTCCAAATATCCACATAGTAGGGCTGTAAGTCCCATAAACCCTTCAGGGCATGGAATTTGGAGCCCTAACCCCTAAACCCTGAACCCTACGACTTGGGTACATGGACCCTTTGGGGTTGGCGTTCTAGTGGTTCCAAGGGCCTTCTGCTTTGGGGTCTTTGGGTTTCAGAGCTTTGGGCTTGCGTGGTTTGGGCTTCGCGGTTTAGGGTTTAGGGTTTTGGGTTTGGGCTTTAGGGCTTGGCTTTAAGGGTTTAGGGTTTAGGGTTTAGTGTTTGGGTTTTTGGGTGTAGGGTTTAGGGTTTAGGGTTTAGGGTTTAGGATCTGGGTTTAGGGTTTGGGTTTAAGGGTAACGTGTAGAGGTGCCCAGCTTTGACCTTCAGAGGAAGGCATCCCCCTATCCCGACTGTGACGGCTTCGAGTGTAGGTAACCTTTTGGGTGAATCAAACCCCTAACCCTAAACCCTAAAACCCGACATCCTAGAACCCTTAACAAACCCGTAACCCTAGACCCTAAAGCCTAAACCTTAAACCCCTAAACCCTAGACCCTAAACCCTAAAACCCTACACCCTAAAGCCCTTAACAAATCCGTAACCCTGGACCCTAAAGCCTAAAACCCTACACCCTAAAACCCTTCACAAACCCGTAACCCTAGACCCTAAAGCAATAAACCCTACACCCTAAAACCCTTAACAAACCCGTAACCCTAGACCCCAAAGCCTAAAACCCTACATCCTGAAACCCTTAACAAACCCTTAACCCTCGACCCTAAATCCATAAACCCTACATCCCTTAACAAACCCGTAACCCTAGACACTAAACCCTATTTTTTTAAAAAAAAAAATGCTAAACCTGGAAGCCCAAACCTCGGATGCAAGGACCTTAAATCGAAGCCCGGAGCTTTCAACCCTCATGTTGAGGCCTTAATACTTAGAAGAGGGTTTGGGGGTCCATTGTACTATAATGATAATAAGGAACCTCCAGGAGAGTATAGGTAATTATTAATTAAGGCCCCTGTACTAATTAAACCCTAAACGGGAGCCATGCAGACCAGAATTCGAGGGCACTCCTGCCTCAACCTACGGACACATGCTTTTTTGCAGGGTTTAGGGTGGTTTAGGGTGCCTTGGGGTAGGCAAGGCTTAGTGGGTTTAGGGGGGGCTTGGGGTTCAAGGTTTAAGGGGGTTCATTATACACGCCAGATCAGGGCTGATACTAAAACCCTCCGGAAAAAGTAGGTCGCTGTAGCTTTAAAACTTAAGCCCGCGAATGCCCAAGTCCCTTCGTCGATGCCTCTTCAACAGACTCTCCAGCTGCGCCGCTTTGGATGCCACCCGGCTTCCCGGCGCGATCAAGATGCTCCTCTTGAGTTATGCACGGATGATCAGGTTCGCGGACTTAGGATGTGGGATTCAAAGTTCAGGGGGGGGAGCGAGGGAAATTGGGTCTAGGATTCTGCACAGAGCGTAAACCCTAAACCCTAAACCCTAAACCGTGAACCCTAAATCCCAAAAACCCTAAA